GGGGGGGGGGGAACAGGTGACAGAAATGAGGACAACAAATAGTATTTAGAATTAAAGAAAAGCCAGATTAGAAAAGAAATATATTCCCTGAAGAAAAAAATGTATAATAGTTTAAGAAAGGGCAAAATATTTAATGGGCTGCAGCAGAAAACAATGAATGACATTCCAGAAGAAGAAAGGGCATGCCGTGGCCACCTGAGAGACTACTAGATTTAATATACTATAGAAACTCTTGCCTTGATCTATAGCAGGTTTCTGAACCTCAGCGTTACTGACATTGTAGGCCAGATGATTTTTTTGTGTGGGGAGCTCATCCTGTGCACTGTAAAATGTTTAGCAGCACGTTGGCCTCTGGGACACTAGATGCCAGTAGCAATCCCTTCCCTGTCAAGACATCCAAAAATGTATCCTGAAGTTGCCAAAGTCCCCTGGGGGTGGGTAAAATTGCCTCTGGATGAGAGCTACTGCTCTACATCTTAGGTACTTGGGCTTCATAGTCCTGTCATGCCTCAAAAAGGAAAAAAAGGACGAAAGAAAGAAAGAAAGAAAGAAAGAAAGAAAGAAAGAAAGAAAGAAAGGAAGGAAGGAAGGAAGGAAAAAAATGCATTATTTGATATTTATCTTTAATTTGGCTAATATTTAATCCCATAGAGCTGCCAAGAGCAATAGCAATCACATAGTCCAGACCCCTCATTTTACAAAAAATGTCAGAGATCCAGTGGGGAGAGGTGACTGGCCCAAGCTTATGGAAAGAATGAGTGGCCCCAAAGGGATTTGAATCCAGGTCTCCTAAAACCATATTCAGTGTTATTTGCATTGCACTCCACAGGTTCTCACAAATTTGACATCAACACTTCTTTCTTATAGGGGCAGAAATAAAGAGATGATGCAGCATTCTTAATACCTTGCTGAAGTTCCCTGGAAGGGGAATCCCATGAGGGAAATGCCTGTTTCCCCTCTGAACTCAAGGGTACCAAATCCACCCACTCGTGCCCAGCTCCCCCTCAGCCTTGCATGGTGGACGGTGAGGTTGCAGAGACATGGAAGAAGTGAGCCCCAGACTCCCCTCCCCACACCCCCAGGGCACCCCGGCATGCCAAGTCAGGAGCACAGAAAGACAGAGGACTTGTATTTGATCTGCCGGTATTTCAGCCTGAGCCTGGATCCCCGGGCACCACAGAGGAGCACACACCAAAAGCCCGAGTTCAGCCACTGAAGAACAGCTGAGCAGCCTAATAGGGTTTTGGGGAGGAGAAGGCTAAAAAAGGGTGTCTTCTCAAAACAAGTTTAGCAGGAAGCAGCAGTTAGTATCTACTCTCTAAGCAGATCAATAAGCAGGCACGGTTAGAGCAGCCGATGGAGTTAGACAAGAGGACACGGAGTAACAAATTCACAGGCCCAGCTTACTCTGCTCATCTGTGGGTGAGGGATAGGGACCTGGTGATATGGTTCCTGCGTCCTAGTGAAAGCTTCAGCAGGAGTTCCCTCTGGGATTCCCAGCCCAGCCTTTGGTTTACCAGTTATCCCTTCTCTAGGAGTGCTGGCCAGGAGCTAGAAAGTGTTCTAAATCCCCTTAGACTGAGACTTCCTGTTGTCAGGGTCTGCCATCTCTCAATGCTCCTGAACGACTAAGATGAGGGTATTTCTTCCGGTTATAATAGAAAGAACAATTGTTTAATGAGCTCCCAAGGAAAACCTGGCATAACAGTCTAATGCCAGTTAGTTAGGATTTTTTTGCCACCATCACCAAAAAAGAATATGCTGATATTTTTCTTCAAAAGGGCACTTTAAAAAATACTGATGTTGGTCCACCCTGACGCTTATGAGACAAACAAACATATGACAAAATGTAACTGCAGTCTTGATGGAAATAAATTCCAAAGATGGGATGGCTATTGTGGTAACCAGTGGAAAAGCTAAGAGGAAATGGAAAAATGAAATAGATGGAAAGAGAACAGGAGAAATAGGGTACAGAGGACAAAGCTGGGAAATGGAGGGAATGATGTTGAGAAATGAAGTAGAGAATGAAATACAAGAGGCAAGAGGAAGGTGCAGGCACAGAGGAATCGCATCAGGAGAGGGCTGTGGGTCTGGCTGCAGACACAAGAGCTGAGAGTGGGGAGGAAGGGAGGGAAGAAAAGAGGGAGGGAGGCAATGAGAATGTGTGTGTGTATGAAAGGGATGATTTATGTCACAGATATGTTCATCCTGGCAAAAGAAACACAATGCTGTTGCCTTTGAGAATAACAATGTGCATTTCTGTGAAGCCGCTGATTTAAAATCCTTCTAGAAAAAATAAATTCAGACTGGTAGCTGGGAGCTTAGGGGGATGGAGAAGGGGAGGACCCAAGTCATCAAAGAAATGCTGGCTACATTTAGGGACGGGGCTGTAGCCTCTCTGTCCAGACAAAAGACTGTTTCACAGACACCCCTGTAGCTGTCAGGGATGAGACCATAGGACAAGACCAGGGTAGGACTTCGGGTCCGAGGCCATGGAGATCGATCCTCAGGTTCTCAAGGCCAAGACTCCTGCACCTGCGTGTTTCCCTTCCCTGCAGTTCCTGCTCCAAATGCTTCCTTCAGGGGACTCAAAGGAGACAGGTGTCGAGACACTGTGTGATTTATTGACAATTAAAAGGTGACTGCTAAAACCTATTTGGCAATCTCAAGTGTCATGTGACTGGACTATAAGGATCACTGTGACTTTTTTGTGACTTTAACTCTGACCACTATTCAGACATTGTCATGAGAGGAACTTTGATAGAAGCAGTCACTGAAAACCAGACTGTGCAGATGGAGGTTGCCCTTATAAACTACTACCACTCCCTCTACCTTTTTATAACACCCACGGGCTCTTTATATACACTACAATTACAACCAGAGAGAAGAGAACACTGTGCCTATCCTAACATCCATGCTGCTTGTGGCTGTGAATGGGGTTACTGTTAGGACTGGAATGTGAGCTGAAAGAGACTATATTTTATTCATTCAAATTGAGCCATTTTGTTGTAATATGGAATGCCAAAGAATGATGTTATAGGAATGCACATCCATATTTATGAGGCTTTTTCCTATGGTGTGGAAATTCCAAGCACATCATATTCTGCAGCTCTCACACTGCCAGTATTTAGATTCCCCCAGATTTTTCACAGCTATCCTCAGACCGTGTCTGTGAGAATAAAGCAGAGGAAGAATTAAGTTGCTGTCTCCTTGAGTGAACTACAGATACACCCATAGTTAAAATGAATTTTTAAAAAGAGGCAAAAGACATCTGCTCTACGCAGAAGTGGCTAAGACCGGGTATTTATTCTTTGTGTCCTTGACAGCTGCGTAAGGTGTCAAAATCCTCAAACATATGACACTTGGGCATTTTTTAAGTGAAATCCAGCTTAGCAGGAGACAGCAGCTACTTAAAATGGAGGCTTTCCCTCCTGAGCTAAATAAATGGTCTGTGGATTAACAGAATTATTGGCATTTTCTGACAAAGGTGTGGTATAATTCTAAAAATCACCTGCAGGCTTAGACTATGACGTTCCTGCCTAAGTTTTATCATTGGTTGTTACACTTCATAGCCTGGTCTGATCTGAAATAAACAGGCACCTCCCTGATCCATGCTCTGGGCAGCTGTAAAGAACATCAAGGTCATTGCAGTCCAAATGCAACGAAGTGTGAAGCTTACCAAACCACTCCATGCTATAGCAGGTAAGCAGTGATTTCGCATAGATGGCAGATTTTAAGAACTGGAGGAGCCAGATCATCCAGCATAGTCATCTCCTTATTTTTCAGATGGGGAAAATGAGGGTCAGAGAGGTTAAATGACTTCACTGCAGGCCACACAGCCAGGTGGTGGTGGAGGCTTGGAACAGGCTTTTTTTTTTTTTCACCCACTAGCCATGGGACAACTGACAATTATGTGTAGGATCTTCAAAAAGGGCACCATTGTTGTTTTTGTCCCTATAACTGTCCTGTATATTAGAATTTGTTCTCCCTAGAAACATGTACTATTTTTATACTAAAAAAAAAAAGTAATTTTTCTATTAAAGGTTCAATCATTTGTCACAGAAATTTTGGCAGGTGATAGATTCATTCAGAATAGATTTATTCAGAAAAGTGCAGGCTGATTTATGCTGCATTCAGTCCTGCTGTACTCAACAGAGAGATACAAACTGCCAAGAGCAACACCGGAGCAACAGCACCCTAGCTGGGATGACCACATGTGGACACTAGAGGGCAACCTTTCCAAACACAGTCAGTGTAGGCACGGTTCTGTGGGTTTCCAAGGGCTAGGAAGTTTCCTAGGCCAGAGAAAAATGTTTTTTGTTTTTTGTTTTTCTAAATGGCATTCCAAGAGAAATATCATTTTAAAAGAATGTCTTAATAATGGTGGCTAATCAGCTTGCCAGGACATCTACTGTCAAATAGGTGTTATCCGTAACTTTTTTCTGTTTTTCATAAACATACATACATACACAAAGACAATTTCAGACATAAAAAACATACATGCCTCTGACATAACTAAACACCCTCATTCCATGCTGGAGTCTCAGAGGGGGAGGTCTTTTATGCTGCTGACTAAGCATCAATACCAGCATAACGTTGTCATGGAAAAATGCAAAGCATTCATGCAAGTTAATAAAGTCAACTACTATTTCTATGACTTACCAGGAACATACTGCTTAGTCGACTGAAAAATAAAGCACAGTCTTTTGGGGGTGATACAATTAAATCTTATGTTACTCCAAAAATCACATTTTCTATGATAATGGCCCCCCATTTCCCTCCTCAAAGAGCAAAGCATCTTTTAAAAATATATATAACAATTGAGCTGTAGGGCAAACTGTGAATCTATACAGCAGAAGCAAAATTAGGCAGACATCATATGAGCAGATATTGTCCAAAGGAGATCACTCCGATTAGTTATTCTGCTTTACTCACAGTTTTCTTCCTGTTGTTAAAAGAACTGTTGCTTCAGGGAAGTTGGTTGTTTTACATTTTAATTGTGAGATCCAATTATTTAAACTTGTGCCTTACAGTGTTAATAGTAATAAGAGGCACTCACATATTTTTTTTTTTTTATTGAGTTTCAGTAGTGCAGAATTGCATACATTTTATAACTCCAGATCCATTCCTGGAGTGGCAATGGCATGTGGTGTGATGTTAGAACAGACATCATTTAAGACAACACACTATTATCAAATTTTTAAAGAACTCGCAAGCCCTTATAAAGTACACCTGTTTCATGGACTGAACGCTGTAAGTCACTCCTCTTGGAAAGGGGATATTATGAGCCAGGGGTTCAGAACTTCTTAAGAATAATATTCCAGGAATCAAAAGACTTCAAGAAGGAAAGGTGAGGGGGGGTAGCGTCAAGGTTTTCTTTGGCAATTACTTTCCCTTTCTCTTCTCCAACCTGTGTGAAGTGACAGCTTCTTTTTTCTTCTCAGGCTATAAAATATGCAGCAGCATAGCCAGCAAGAACTAAAGACGGAAACTGGTTAGGAAATGCTAGAATCTGAAGGAAGCGCCTAGGTTAGCTCTGAGGGCAAGATGATGGCCTTGGGCAGTGGTTGGCAGTAGGTATAAAGATCTAGGCAAGTCTGGGTGTGGTTCTAGGGTGTGCACTATTTCCCCGTCTGCCATATGCTATACTCAGCTGAGTGTGTGTGGATATGTAACCAAACACAGGTCACAAAATGCATAGCTAATGTTCAGTAGAAACAAAAACATTTCAAGAAAATAGAAAATTTCCTTTGAGTATAATGCTTCATTGTATCGGCAGCTATTCAAGTCAGCTGTTCCTTTTTTTTTTTCTCTTTCATTCATTTATACATTTGTTATTGCAGACTTACAGACAGATGGAAACCAGCAAACCCAGAGTCCCCCGTTCATAATCTGGATCGCCTCCAGGACTTCCCATCTCAAAGAAGTGCTTGCTTAGGTGCATCTGTCGGGGGAGTGAATGCTACCAAGCTATCAGGCAAACCTGCATGGTCAGATCCCGGGTGTCTTTGCTCCCCTTGCTTTTTCTGGATTTCTCATGATCTCAATCACATTTAGTGAAAAATTATTTTATTATTTTTTCATTACTAAGGAGTTGCCACCTGAGTCCATTTTGTGTAGAAAAAGTTGCTGGGCTCTGCAGTGTGAACAGGAGGGAGGTTTAAGAGCTTCCTGGCATTCTTCCAAGATACAGTAGCTCAGGGGGAGCCAGATTTACAGATAGAGCAAATAACAGAGTCTCACCATTCACTGTCCAAGGATGGATACCTGCTGTGCATGCCCTCAGCTCACAGTCAACCCTGTGTTCAGGATTATGGCCAATATTTAATGGTTGCTTTTCCAACTCTCCCCTCCCTCCATGTCCTACAGCTGATCTTGGGTACCTGTCCTCATGATATGAACTTAAAAGTGAAGGAACAGCTTGAGAGAAAAGGAGAGGGGATGTTACGCAGGTGGGTACAATGGTGACAATCTCACAGGTGGATGGAAGGTTTCCTGAGAACAGAATCAGGTCTGAGAAAGCAAAAATTCTCACCAGAAGCTCCTCTGGATCTCCCGATCCATTATTCAAGGCCACTCTGGGGATTCTCCCACTTCCCACCATAGCTGGGGCCCCTCCTATGGCTCTGACTTTCCAATCTCAAGCTGTCTTACCTGAAGAGTTTTGATTTTGCCCAGGATGTTGTCCTGTGACATTGCTTGAACTGTCTGCTCACTTTCTGCTCCCCCATCAGGGATAAAAATACTGTCATGGGAAAAGGCCCGGGTTCCCATAGAATAGTTGAAGGACCTGGAATGCAAACCATGTGCTTCGTTTTATTAGGATGATAATATTTCTTTTGGCAATTCAATTTCCTGTTCCTCCTCATTTAGAGGACTCCACCCACAACCTGTCTTATTCAGAAAGCACTTCCAGCATTGTGTCCTGTTCTGCTAAGGGTCAGCCAAGTAGCTTGGGTAGGCGAAAGGGTCTCACAGAAATAAGGGAGCATGTGTCCAACACAATATTTTAGAGCCACTCAGTGAGAGAACTCAAAGACAGCTATCTACTTGCAGAGGACCCAGGACATAAGGCACTGCAGGAATTTTAACTGGAGGAGCCTATGTCCTGGTGAGCTGTCACTGTCAGTTTTCCCCCAGTAAGTCCTATCAACCAGCACTTTTTAAGTAATGTGCAGATCTAGAAGTTAGAGGCAAGAGATTCCTTTTTTTGGATTACAATCACACTGTTAGAAAGATACATACATCTAAAACTAAGACTTGACAAAGATTAGAACTGCTCGTAGGGACTGCACGTATAGTCTCTAGGGCTAGAATCTTTATGAGAAAGGTGTCTTAGGGCAATTTTGATGAGCTTCATGGACTGTGAGCAGCTTATAAGTGGTAGGTATCCAACGATAAATGCTTTTCAGTTAAAGGGTTACACTTTGACAAGTCCAGACTTCCCAGGCAGAATCACACAATCTCTGTAAGGCAAGGCAGGTACATTTCCATGATTCCAGGCCCATGGGCAGACTCCCCCTTTCCCTCCTCAGGAAGGGGTCCCACCTGGAGGTGTTATCAGTGACCAAGTGCCAGCACTGGGGGAAAGGCACCTCCAGCTGGTGCTCTTAAACTGAATTACAGAAATGGAGCAGGCAGGGTCCTGACCAAATCTAGACTGAACTGGGAAGACTGGGTACCAAATCGTATCTTCTAATTTGCCAGATTACAGGCAGCATGGTAAAAAAGCATATGAGGTTTAGAAACAGAAGACTTGGGTGTAAGCCTCCTGGCTGTGTGATCTTTGTCATGAATAAGAACAAGAACAAGAACAAGAATAAGAATAAAGAATAAGAATAAAAATAATAGCCAAGATCAACCCTCACCTTTGTGAAAAACTGTGCCAAGAGCTTTGCTTTCATTATTTCAACACCAATCCCTTGTTACAGATGAAACTCAGGGGGTAAATCATCTTATCTAAAGTCATCCAAACAGAAGTAGTAGAGGAAATGAATTCAGAGCTACTGAGTACAGTCCTTCACCAGCCAGCTAAGTGTCTTAAAGCAGTGGAAGGTCTCAGCATCTTCCCTCCCATGAGTGAAATGGGGTGTGGGTGGGCCAGTGGGAGAGGAAGACAGGATGCAAATGACACGTGGGCTGGAATAGGGGAGGATTAGAGATGCTAAACAGCCAGAAGAATCGGTAAGCTTTCAGCCAAATAATAACACATACTGTAAAGCAGGAATCCACTCTATAAAATATGAGGCACTGTTTAGGATATGAATATGGAAAGAATTAAATAGGTAATTATTTCCCTGTCTTCAGAGACTCTGTGACCTGTGTTACAAAATGAACATCCAGGTTTACCTAAAGAAGCTACGAAATAAACTTTTCATTTAAAGAATCAAATCTTTTAATATTCTATCTAAATGTCTCTCTCAGATCCCTGGCTATGACCCAGGTGGGAGAAGAGGTAACTGACTTCATTTCTATTTAGTGTATTTGCAGATGGCTTATATTTATATATGCATGCTTTCAGACACTCTTACAAAACATCTATACACAAGTCCATTTTAGAAGCTTCATAAATGTTTACTAATGACCAACAGTTGTGTGGCCAACATTACCTTGGTATTAGGCCAAGTCCCATTCCAGTTTCTAAGTCAACCCTGACTGAATCATGAACTTTATCTCCTCGATCCCATTGTTTTTCCAAGTAGGCCGAGCAGTGACGCTCTCCTACTTTTCTGTGTTGCCCCAAATGTTCCTTGTTGCCAACCATGCTTTAATATCCACCCATTCCCCACTTCCAGATAATCATACTGAAAAATGGAAAATGAACAGTAACAACAGCAGTAGTAGTAATTACAGAAAGAGAGGTAGTCACAATGGTAATATTAATACTGGCTACATTTTATCAAGCCCTTCTTGCGATGTCCCTTGCATGTGTGCTAACCTCTTTAGTAGAACATCTAAGTCCTTTTTTTAATTTATTTATTTACTTTGAGAGAGAGAGAGAGAGAGAGAGAGAATGAGCATGAGTGGGGGAGGGGAGAGAGAGAGAGAGAGAGAGAGAGAGAGAGAGAGAGAGAGCGAGAGAGAATTCCAAGCAGGCTCTGCACTGTTAGCACAGAGCCTGACGCAGGGCTCAAACTCACGAACCATGAGATCATGACCTGAGCCAAAATCAAGAGTCAGACACTTAACCTACTGAGCCACTCAGGCACCCCTAAGTCCTTTTATTATGTAATATTTAAGCCTTATGTGGTGGGCACTATTATTAAGCCTATTTACAGATGAGGAAACTAAGGCTTGAAGATAGGGAGTGATTTGCTATAAATTAAGTGACTATGTATATCTGGATCTGTTTCTGGCCTCGTTTCCCTTGGTCTACTTATCTATTTTTATAGCAATAATCCCACACTGTCTTAATTACTATAGCTTTTTAATGAGTCTTGGAATCTAGTAGTTTAAGTTCTCTAGCTTTTTTTTTTCTCAAGATGGCTATTCTTATCTCTGCATTTCTACAAAAATTTACACACACACACAGAGTCCAACACACTCCTGGAATTACTTTCATGACATCATTAGATCTACGGATAAATTTTGGGATAACTAACGTCTTTACAATATTTGATCTTTTAATCCCTGAACATCAGATACCCCTTTGTTTAGATACCTCTTACTTTCTCTCAATAATGTTTTGTAGTTTTGTGTGTAGAAATCTTATACATATTGATAGATTTATTCCTACATATTTGATGTTTCTGAATTGACTAGAAATGGTGTATATAGGTTAACATTTTTATTTTCTAATGGTTTACTGGTATAATATTAAAATATAATTAGTCTTTGTATATTGTTCTTAAAGCTAAATTTATTAATTATAATAATATGTCCTTAGCTAAATTTATTAATTATAATAATATGACTTGATTCTTTTGGGTTTTCTATGAATACAAGCAGGTTGCCTGTGACAAAAGGCAGTTTTATTTCATTATTACTTTTTAAAGTTTATTTATTTTGAAGGAGTGAGCATGTGAGTGTGACCAGGGTAGAGTCAGAAAACCAGGGAGAGAGAGAAACCCAAACAGGCCCCACACTCAGCACAGAGCCCAACATGGGGCTCCATCCCATGACTATGAGACTATGACCCATGCAGAAACCAAGACTCAGATGCCCAACTGACTGAGCCACCCAGGTGGAAGGATTTTAAATCCATCCTTCTTTTTTTCCTTCCTTCTTTCTTTCCTTCCCTCTCTCCCTACCCCCCCTTCCTTCCTCCCTGCCTTTCTTTCTTTTTTTTTTTGTCACAGTGAATTAGCTAGAACTTCACACAAAGTTGAACAGAAATCGTGATGGTGGACTTTGACATGTTCTCAAACTAAGCAAAAATGTATTCAATATTTTACCATTAAGTTATGCTGTTACCTATAAAATTTTTGTAGGTTATATTACTGCTTCTTTGAAAAGACAGGCAGTCTATCATCTTTTTTATTTTAAATTTATTTACATTCAAGTTAGTTAATATACAGTATAGTATTGGTTTCAGGAGTAGAACCCAGTGATTCATCACTTACATATAATACCCAGTGCTCATCTCAACAAGTGCCCTCCTTAATTCCCATCACCCATTTAACCCATCCCCCCCACCTACGTCTCCTCTAGAAACCCCAGTTTGTTCTCTGTATTTAAGAGTCTCTTATGGTTTGCTTCCCTCTCTGTTTTTATCTTATTTTTACTTCCCTTCCCCTATGTTTATCTATTGTGTTTTGTTAATTTAACATTTGAGTGAAATCATATGCTATTTGTCTTACTCTGCCTGACTTATTTCACTTAGTATAATACACTCTAGTTTCATTCACATTGTTGCAAATGGCAAGATTTCATTCTTTTTGATCGCTGAGTATCATTCCACTGTATATATATACCACATCATCTTTATCCATTCATCAGTCAATGGACATTTGGGCTCTTTCATAATTTGGCAATTGTTGATAATGTTGCTATAGACATTGGGGTGCATGTGCCCTTTGAAATCAGCATTTTTGTATCATTTGTATAAAAACCTAGTGGTGCAACTGCTGGGTTGTAAGGTAGTTGAAGACAGTAAGGTACTGGCACAAAAACAGACACATGGATCAATGGAACAGAACAGAGAACCCAGAAATGGGCCCACAAATGTATGGCCAACTAATCTTCAACAAAGCAGGAAAGAGTATCCAATGGAAGAAAGTCTCTTTAGCAAATGGTGCTGAGAAAACTGGACAGCGACATGCAGAAGAATGAAGCTGGACCACTTTCTCACACCATACAAAAAATAAATTCAAAATGGATGAAAGACCTAAATGTGAAACAGGAAACCATCAAAATCCCAGAGGAGAAAACAGGCAACAACCTCTTTGGCCTCAGCTGCAGCAGCTTCTTACTAGACAGGTCTCTGGATGCAAGGGAAACAAAAGCAAAAATGAACTATTGGGACCTCATCAAGATAAAAAGCTTCTGCACTGCAAGGCAATGGATGGAATGGGAGAAGATATTTACAAATGACATATCAGATAAAGGGTTAGTATCCAAAATCTATAAAGAACTTATCAAACTCAATACCCCAAAAACCAAATAGTCCAGTGAAGAAATGGGCAGAAGACATGAATAGACACTTGTCCAAAGAAGACATCCAGATGGCTTACAGACACACGAAAAGATGTTCAACATCACTCATCATCAGAGAAAGACAAATCAAAGCCACAAAGAGATGCCACTTATCAGAATGGCTAAAACTGACAACTCAG